TGAAACTGCTGAACTACATGAATAGAAAGTATAAGTGGCCCTTAATTTAAAACAATAATAAAATTTGTCTGCCCACTAGGTTTTCAAAACTAACGACCGTTTAAAGTTCAGGAAATTTTGAAAATATTCCAGTGAGTAACTAACACACTCGCCTTCGTAAGGTGCTCCGATAAATTCCCGTAAATTTCTTACCTGGCTTCAAGATTAAAGTTTTGGTCCTTTGTAGCGATCCTTGAAACCTAGGTAGCATTAAAACTGCCAGCTTTTCCTTCCTCTTAAGACTCTTAAGACTGCAAATGTTTGGTTTGGCGCTCGTTAGAATAATCCACGACAAAACACGGACAAGTTGTCTTTTGAAACTTCCTGTGTGTGTATATTTCGCAGAAGACGTTTCAATTAGCAAATTTTCCTTCTAAAACAAAGACGTTGCCATTTTTTTTGAAAATCGATCTCGTACGAGAATTGAAGTAGCTTGTTAAAACGCGAAAATACATGTACACCAAGCAGTTAGCCTGCAATGAAAGAGTCATGCTTTCACATTTACAATTTGACAAAGGTTAAGTGACACTTTTAAAGTGTTTTACCAAATCCTAAAATTGAACTTGAAGTTTCCAACGTTATGCGCTTCATGATATATTTTTGCAGGTAAACCCAGGTCAAGTTGGTTTCTATCGAGTTCAATACTCATCCGCCATGTTGGAACTTCTGCTACCAGCCATCAATGACAGCAGTCTTCCTCCAAGAGACAGACTGGGACTACAGAGTGATCTCGCTGCTCTGGTATGTTAAGGGGTGCCACCCCCTTTCCCCACCTCCCGGTGCATTCTCTAGCCGGTAATCTTGAAAGATTAGTGTTCTACCAAAAGTGTAGAAAGAATTTCAAAGGAAATTCTTGTTTTGGCGAGAGAATTCCATGGTACGGAAAAACTGACGTGGCACAACTTGTTTCGTGGATGCGGGTTTAATCCACAAGTCTGTAATGCAGTCTTTTGTCTGCGCCGGCAATACTGTTTTCTTGCCATGCGCGTGCTAGAAGGTTATTTCAAAGTCAATTCGCAAAAAAAGGTAAACATTTATTGCTAAAAGCAGGCGTTCTCTCCGTACGGGTACTCTTCAGAAACGAGACAGCAATTTTTTAAACATTTTGTTTTAGATATGAATGAAACGGCAAACAATAACAACAACGATATTAGCACTTCGTTTCCATAGCCAATGAATTGATTGTTTTTGATATATTTAAATTCAGCTTGGCAGTGATGCCTAGTTGACACAAACAAAGAAAATTGAATGAGCATGTTTATTCATTTCTTTTATTTGGGTCCTCTAGGCCTCACTATCAAACTGAATTTCAATATATCGAAAGTAGTCTATTCAGGGTTAAGCGATCGGTTTCCAAACTGTATTTTCATGTATCATTTTTAACTTTAAATTCCAGGCACAAGCAGGCCTTGCGTCCACTACAGAATTCCTGAAATTAGCCAAGCAGTTCAGAAACGAGACGAACTACACTGTATGGAACGACTTGACGGCCAACCTAAGCAACCTGGCCAAGCTGTTGCAGAACACTGGGTTCTACTCTAGTTTCCAGACCTTTTGCGTGAAACTCTATGAGCAAATTGCCAGCCAAGTTGGATGGGACCCTAAAGAGGGCGAAGGTAATATCACCACAAAAAATTTTATTGCTTTACATCCGTTAGGTTCCCGTGTTTGTGTTAACGACAGAAACAAACCTCCTAACGGTAGGCTTATTATCAGATTTTTACGGATCTACTCTCGCCGTACATTTCTTGAAGGTCATTTGGACGCGCTCTTAAGAGGCCTGGTTCTAGGTTGTATGGGACACAGCGGCGATCCAGCGACAATCGCAGAGGCGCGGAAAAGATTTGACGCTCATTGTAAAGGTGAAACCATCATCTCAGCAGACTTGAGGTCAGCGGTGTACCGCACAGTTCTTAAGCATGGTGATGACGTCACCTTGAACGCCATGATGAAGCTGTTTAGAGAAGCTGATTTAGACGAGGAGAAAGTGCGATTAATGAGTTGTATGGGGGCGGTGTCACAGCCTGAACTGATCAAGAAAGTGTTAGCTTTCTCCATGTCGGTAGGTTCAGCAGCTTTGATAATTTTTACAAGAATTGTAATGGTTATTAGTTCAAGAAGTGTCTAGAAAGTAAAACAACTGAAAACAAGACAAAAAAAAAAATTAAACAGAACAGGCACGAGTAAAACAAGGGACCCGTGTTAGCGCCATCTACCTTGCGTTTATACTCTTTTCACTCTGAAAACTTCAGCTTTCTGCATATATGTTTAGTTACCTATAGTTTAACGTAAATTAACTTTTTTGTCGCGCATTCTCTCCTTTTTCTCTTGGTTCTTAATAAGAAATTGAAGTAGACTTCGCTGTTGCTCGAGGATTAGCGTTCTATTTTACTTTTTCATCACTATGCTTTTTTTCTCAGAGTGAGGTCCGTTCCCAGGACACAGTCTTTGTCATCGCAGGTGTGACCGGCAGGTAACCCAGAAGTATGGTGCGAAGTCTGAAAGTGATAGAGTGGTCCCCGTTCGAGTGCCGGACAGGATGATTTTGTTGTGTGTTTGGGCAATACACTGTTTTCTCACGGTGTCTCTACAACCGGAAAAAAAGGAGGG